GTTTGGATTGTATGGATTTTGTAAGACTTATATTTCAAAGATAAATAAATTGAATAAGTCATGACTTCTTACAATATTATGAATTTTTAAATGAATACATAAAAAATTTAACGTCTTTATAAATCTCAAATAAGTACAATCCCAGTGAACATGAAAGGTAATATAACACCCAGAATAGCTCGGTGAACTGATCTAATATGACAGGTTTGAGGGAGCTTCAGCTCGGTATCAATGTTTGGCCTTGTCACGGAGCTCCATTAGACAACTCAGGGTACGTACTAGTCGACTTGGTTCAACATCTGATGGGTTGAGTTACTCCATGATTTTGGACAGATGAGGGGACCTCATGACCGGAGGTCGTTAGAGAGAGCAAAAGTCGTGGTTGCAACCTAGTTAGAGTCTATGACAGGTAGGTCACGATGTCGCTAGGACAACCCGGCGACCTAAGATCCATGTGAAAATAGAGGACATAATTCTTCTAAGGATAGAAAGCATGTCTCGCTAAGAAGTCTAAGTTTTCATAAACTTGGTATGCTAGAAAAAAAGATACAGCCAGATCTCTTTCTTAGCAAGGACTCTACTTGGGCAGTAAGACACCCTTGGATATGTAAAGGGTGATCAGGTTTTACTTTTACATTACACATATTTACGCTTACAACATACATTTTTCGATATTCTCACGAGGGATTACTGATTTGAACGTTCCAGTTTTTCCCGTTAGGATACCTCAACGACGTAGTGCAGGTCACCGAAGCTTGAAGGTATAAGACCGTGTTGGGATCGTTGAGGATCTCGTTATGTACAAATCACGAATTCAATAGCAACAATAAACCTATGCGCAGCGGATTTAGAGGTTTAGAGTTGAATACTTACGGCTTAAAATTGCAGACTCTGAGTCGTTGTAGATTTCCTTTGTATGAGATCTTTTGAACTTAAAATTCGTTGGGCAACCGAATTCTTCTCGTCGGACTCAAGAAGCTCGCAGATGCGGTGACCGGGAGCAGCTCTTGCATCGGGAGGTCGCCGGTGGTGCGTAGAGTCATCGCGCGGTCATGGCTGGGCTGCGGCATCGTCGGGCTGTGTATGCGGGTCGTCGGGGCGTGCGAGGAAGTCGCGGGCTGCAGCTGGCTCACGGGCTACGGCTCGCGGCGGTCGACGGCTGGTCGGCGGTGGTCGATCGGTCGACAGTCACGGGGTAGATCATCGGTTGATGATCACGGGGTCTCAGTACCTCGAGATCTTCTACTGTATATCTCGAACAGCACTTCGAATTGTATCGGTGGAACAACAAGATGAAGATAAAGCTCGACTATGAGAACTGGAGAGAGAGAGATTATGAGGGGGAGATCGATCGTGTACTGCACGATAGGTTTGTTCTGCTCTTCTCATCTCAATCTCATGAGCTTAATAATGTATTTATAGAGCTAGAGTAGGGATCCTAAGGAGATGATGATTTGGGCTCCTTAAGTATTGGACTTAACTGTGGCCAAGCCCACTCTTGCCAATACATAAATAATGTTTCGGTCCACTAACGAAAACATTATTGGATTCCTTTATCATCCTTAAAATTATATTCGAGACTCCAGTTATAATTACTCGAATTACCTCTCCATGTTTAAAATATAATGTCCATTAATTAATTCGATTACTGACAATCAAGAATTAATTGATATCTTGTAAACCAAAGCTAGCGCTCGTTTATCATATTGTTATTATGCCGAAACTTAATCCACCTGCAGGGTTTAGCATAACAATCCTTCGTGAACTCACCTCAGGTACATTATCAAACTGACGTACATGGTAACCGTAAATATTCTAACAGCACATCGTACATGCAGTACTATTACCCAAAACATCAGGAATGTTGACCCAACTGAATGAATCTCACCTTTAGTGAATCAAAGCAATAAATACAACATGAACATGTATGTTTATATCTTATGGGTTAAGAGAACGCATTAATTAACCGAGACAAAGTTTGTTTACGAAGATCAGTATAAAACAAACTACTACTTTCTAGGATCCTATTCAATACATAAATGTACTAGTGCACCTAATCAGTCAAGACCAACTGTACAGTTGACACTACAACCGTTCTGATAGTTTGTTCATTTTCATCTAGGTTGTGAACCAACAATTCTTGTTTCGCAAGTGACTGATAAAATGATCTTATGTTCACCCGCTAGTGAACCATTTTATCTAAGTGCAAAACAACATAACATAGAACTTGTTTAGTCAAACATAATTCTCATTCAACAAAGATAAAGTGTAATATCATCTACAACCAAGCTTTCAGTATATAACACCAACAGACCGTTCGTGTTAGCACCAATTCAGTCCAATTTGAAGTCGATTTGCGTATAAAATTTGCGTCGTCTGTGGAAAGACCTAATATTTTCCCAGCTATAAGGGACTAAGTTTGTTTCTCACAATATTGTCACACTTTTTGAGATCATGGATGGAGATAGTTCTAAGAAGAATCTGCCAAGGCTATGGAGGAGGCATGGGTATCTCGAGTTTCTATTGGCACGGGCCCTCACTCGGCTGGTTGAAGCAAACCCGCACACATGACACCCCCAATTTGACACTGCGAGGGCCACACACCACATTGATCCTTGTGTTGAACGTGGTAACCCGGCCTATGTCGAGACAGGAGCCGTTGGTCGTCCAGCATGGGATCAGGGTAGAAAATGAACAAGGAAAAGTGGTTGTTGGAGAAAATGGGGCGCAATGTCTAGGGAACCCAGGGTTCAACTGACCTCGAAAGCAGGAGGATGAATAGTTGCAAGTAGGGGTATGCATCGATCGACCTAACCGAATTAGGAAAACCAAAATAACCGAACCATATTATGCCAATAACTGAAATCAGCCGAATTATCAATTTAAACCGAACTTTAACCGACCAGACTTCTTGGCGGGTTTCGGTCGATTTGGTCAAACCGACCGAACTATACATTTTAATTTATATAATATAATATAATATATATTTAATATAATATAATATATATACACATATATATAATATAATATAATATATACATATATATATATATATATATATAGGATGTGGTTCAAATGAGAACCAAGTCTTAGTGTGAGAACCGTGAAATCGCTATTTTTAATTGTGCGTGGTGCTATGATTGATTGTGTTTGGTGCTATTTTTAACTAGGATGAATTTTATTAAAAATAGCAACATAATTTATATTAGTATTTGTGAAAATGATAACATCATTTAATATTAAAAATAGCATCATACATAATTAAAAATAGCATCAAATACAGTTTTCACACCAGGACTAGTTTTTATTTGAACCAGCCCCTATATATATATATATAGACATTATAAAACATAAAATATATATGCTCGAAAAATAAATAGAACTTAAAATAAATAAAACTAGCTATGTATGGAACTAAAATCAAGCTTATATATAATAAAAAAGTTCGGGACGTTACAACTTTCCTCGTTCCTATTGACATTAAGTTTTGAAATGGCATTGAGTATTGTTTAATGGATCAACACTGGGGTAGGAAAGAGATCGTCGGAGAACTTTGGGGACCTTTCAGTACATGCGTCGAGCTCTGAGCTTGAACCAATATAAACCCAATAAATGCATGGGCTCTACATCACAAATGATAAATGGGTCAACCTTGAAACTATTATATAACACCTAGAGGTGGCCAATTGCCAATTCCAGACTGGTTTTGGACCGGGGCCACCGGTTCCAGTTCACATAAATGTATAACAACTAGAGGTGTCCAACTGTCGATTCCGGGCTATTTTCGGGTCGGGATAGTCACATTTTATGTAAACTGGAATCGGCCTAGGTATATATACAGGTTGGTGGTTTTGAACAGACCTGTCGTTTCTTGACTGAACCAACTAATAAAAAATTCAAAAAAATAAAAATAAAATTCAATTTTTTAATTTGTTGATTAAAACTGACGTTCAATTTGTGAAAAATCATGGATATGACTCGACAGACACTTTGTGAATGACCTTGACCTAAAAAGAGCAACCAACACTAAAATAAATACGCCTCCTTAATTTCCAGAAATCGCAAATCCAGGCAAAAGGTGTCTTTTTCATTATTTTGAACCAGATAATAATTCATCTGGAAAAAGACTATAGTCCCCTTATGGAACCATTCCATCGGGGTTTTAAACCGTTAGATACACATCTCCTTTATATATAATTTTATAACGCGCTGAGTCTATGTAGTAGTTTCGCATGCTTCGTAATCTCACAAGCAAAAATATTATACTTTGTAATATGGCTTGGATAAAATTAATAATTTTTTTATATCAAATAACTTAAGTTCGAATTACTAAATATTACTAAATATATATGAATATTTAATATATTTAAATCATTCTATATAAATTTATTTATTATCTTCTTTCTATAATATGTATATAATATTATTTTTTAAATTTTATACTTTTTTCATATTATTTCCTTATGTAATTTAAATAAAAATATTATAAAATTTTTTATAAGGTATATAAATTTGTTTTACGAATTTAAAATAATATTATTAATTCACTTAATTATTTATTATAAATTAATATATATTATTCTTTATTTATTATTTTTAATTTCAACAAAATATAATATTTTTTTATTTTTTATTGTACATTTAATTATTTTATCAACCACTCATGTAGTATATAGTATTGTACTAATAAGTAATGTGTAGGATAGATTTTATTTCTCAATATAGTATTGTACTAATAAGTAATGTGTAGGATAGATTTTATTTCCCAATAAAATTAGGATAGATAATCTACGGTAAAATCTGATATATATTCGGATAAACCTTAAAAGTTGAACACATAATTTCGCTCATTATCCATATATACAATATAAACTGCAGGAAAAAAAAAAAAGGAAAAAGAAAAAAGAAAAGTATACATTACATTAGAAACTACATAAGTATCCCAGTCAAAAAAACAAAAAAAAGAAACTACATAAGTATCTATTCATCCACTAAATTGCTTATTGGCCGGCAGACGGCCCATTGTCCTCCTCCGTACCGGATTTGAACCCATAAAACCTCCACAGAAACTGATAGTCCTTAGCCGCACACTCCAATTTAAGAGCCTCGCACGAAGCCCTAACGCACCGCTTCAGCCCATCCCTCTCCCACTCAATCCTCACCCACCCACTGAACCCATGCAACCACCGCTCCACATTGCACCTCAGCCAGATCCCGCCGCCGATCCTCCTGCACGCGCCGCCGCCGCCGGCCCTCTCCAGCCACCCACACTCCGGCTGCCCCACAAGCTCCTTGTACGCCGCGTTGCACATCCTCACCTTGTTGCTCGAGTCCGACACAATCGCCGGCAAAACCTCCGCCTCCACGATTTCCTCCACCTCCTCCGCCCCCATCGCGGCCGGGAGCCGCCGTATTTCGCTGGAGATTCCTTCCACCACCACGGTCGACCCCACCGGCCGGACCGGCCTGGGAGATATGACGCCGGCCGGCCGGACCTTCAGATCTGGCTCCTCAGACGCCATAGACAGGTTCAGATCTATCTCCTTCTCCTTCTCTTTATCCTCGACGGCGGCTGGGATGAGCGGGGAGTCGCGGAGGAGCGGCAGCTCAACAGACTCGGCCAGGGTCGTGACGGCCGTGTCGAGGCAGCAGTTGATCGGGACGAAGTTCCAGCTCGCGGCGAGGTTTCCGGCCATCGGCGGGATGAGGCCCTGGAGGCAGGTGCGAGCGCGCTTGAGGGAGGGCGGGGAGAAGGAGGCGGCGCGGCCGCGCTTGCGGGTGCGGGTGGGGCGGGCCTGGAGGTGGGCCCAGACGGTCCTGAGGTAAGGGGATTTCCGGATTCCGCTGTGGTCGGCGGCTGCGGCGGCGCCGCCGTCGTCGGTGGCGGAATTAGGTTTGAGGGAGTCGGGTCTGGGGGCAATTGGCCTGTACCGGGACATGATTTGGGCGGTTCTATCAGGGCCATGCGGATTTATTGTTTGCATCATTTTCTTCTTCTTCTTTTTTTTTATTATTTTTTTTTTCAAGGAGGAAAGTAATATTTGTTTTGAATTTTGGTTTTTATTCTTGGGGAAGAAGAATGCGAGGGATAGTGTGAGAGGTGAAGGAGTGTGGTTTATAAGGGGGAAAAGGACCAATGAGAAGGCGGCAACAAGAGAGGAGGAAACGACACGTGGAAGCATAGGGTGGGTACGTGTTCGCAGAGGTAAGAGATGGGGACAGCTGGGATCTCTCCACCAACATGCAACCTTACACTTCGCAACTGCAATATCACTTTTCTTTTTCTTTTTCTTTTTATTTCCTCGATAAAAGCAGAAAGATAACGAAAATAGTTTGGTTATACAATTAGTGTGTAGCCCGCCAGTAAATAATATGAGGGTAAACAATATTAACTCATAGTTGTAATTAAGATGTAGAGTTAATATGTGACGTAATTTCGTATATCAGTTGTAAATAATATTAAATTATCTTGTATAAAATAATATAAAAAATATATGTTTAAAATATTAAAAACACCTAAAATATTATATAATATAACGTATGTAAAGTATCTAAAATTTTATATATTATTATTGAAAGATGTGATTCACCTAAAATTTTTCTAAACTATTTTATAAATAAAGTATGTCTAAAATTATTTAAAAAATCTTGTATATAATATATTATTCAATTTCCAGAAGATGATGATAACTACAAGTTTGAATTTTAGAATCCACGTGAGTATTATTTTTTTGATCCGTGTACTATACAAATGATTCATTATGTTAATTTTCTGTGAACTTTATATTGATTTATTGATTTTATTTTATTTTCATACAAAGTTGATCGTCTCATTTTGTTTTACCATATTTTTGTGGAGATTTAACAAAGTCAATTGTATTTATAAAATGATTTGGAGATCAACATACAATTTATAATGGAGTTTTCAAAATTGTGTACTATTAACAAATAATATATTATCATTAATTTTTTTTTTATTTTAAATGCACAATTATTGAGACTGAGAATTTAAAAATTATTTATTACTTTAGAAACCGAGTATAGAAAAATCAATAGATTAATAAACAAAGTATCGATAAACATTACAAAGTGATATTTTAAACGCTACAAAGTATTGAGAAAAAACAATATATTATCACACATTCCAAGTGAAAAAATTGTGATGATTAGTGGAAAATGATATTTAAAGAATAGCATCCAATATTTTTTTTGAAAAGAATAAATATAAAGACCGATATTCTAAAATTTTTATTACCTTTTGAATTGAGATTTTATAAATATAGAGACTGAGATTTTAATGTTTTTTGTTGTTTTTTTAAAAAAAATAATTAAAAATGAAAAATGCACACTTAATAGATCTTAAATTAAATTTTTAAATAATAAACGAATTAAAGCCTAAAATTTAATGTAACATTTAATGTTGTATGATTTTTTAAAGATAAAAATAAAAAATTAATAAAACTTATTATTTATAGGTTGCATTAAATTCTTTTCTACNCTGAACCTATCCTAAGGTTTTCGAGTTTAAGTTCGACTAATTTTTGAATGTTTGTTCGTTTAATATTCGAACTAAAACTAAGTCGGTGTTGATCATTTCTTTGTTCGTGTTCGTTCGTGTTTATGTCGCTTATATGGTCGAGCTTATTCACAAATTGTTTGAACAAATTAATTTCGATTAGCTTCAATTGTTCGGTAAACAACTTGCTCACAATAGCATATATAGCATCCACATGCCTGCATTTTCATTCAAAATTGCAAATAGCTTTAAAGAGTTAAAACTAATTAAAGCAATACAATGTTGGTATGTAAAGACCTTCGATTGGCTAGATTTGAGTTGATCTACCTTCCTCGTCGGTGATTGACCTTCAATACCTGCAAAATCTCGGCGTCAGAGGGGTTTTTCGGCGAAAAGCCTTCGATGCCTAAGTTAGAGATGTGAAGAAGACAATTAATTATACAAGATGTATGTAGAGAGTGTAAAGTAATAATGGACATACCTCATTCCCTTTTATGAGGAGGTGTTAGCCTTATTGCCCAAGACTGCCTGAGTGAGTTGCCCAGACTGCCCGAACAGCCCGTCCATACCGCCTCAACTGCCATATTCTATTATGTCATGTGCGATCTTTATCCTGTTAATATTCTTTCTTATCCATTAGTCTGTCTTATTATACTGTCTAATCGTGCGACCTGTTCGAACCATCTCGAGGTAAAATGTTGCATAGATGAGGTCACATGTTATCCTTTCGGTCGATCCATCTCCTTCAGGTCGAGTTTCAACCAAGTCATCCAAGGGCCCCCACTCGACTTGTCGGTATCCCTTTGAACATGCAAAGTCCTCCTCGACCAGAAGAATCTTTGCTCTGTAGCCACGTTCGACCTCCATTTCGCCTACTTGTGCTTCTGTTCGACCAAGCTGTTCGTCTGACCCGGTTGACTGGTGTATCAGGTTGGTTCTACCTTGTGTGGTATCTAGAAGAGCTTCAACAAGAGCCAAAGAACGCCACGCCATAGGATAGGGAAGCTCGAACACTCATATCATCTTGTCCATCCCTCCCCTTTGGTCGAGTTAAAATAACTCGATCTAAGAGTAGATTTGTCTTTGACTTTACTTGGTAAGTTTCAATACTTTCTTTTCGACCTGGACGCTCATACTTCCTTTAATTCTACAACGATATTTTTGACCTCCCCTTGTGGTCTTTATTTCGAATTTTGAAACTCAAATCTTTGCCTTCTGTCAGATTGTCAGTCCTAACGTCTTGTTGACGTAGCTGCTCCGTAATATGCCTGACCTCGTACAACGTACCCATTAAATGCTTCTTTAATGACGACCCTCAATCTACCTTTAATCTTACGGTTGGGAACCTGTTGTCTCTTCAACTTGCCTACTTGATCTCAGTCGTTGATCTCGACCACCATCCAACAGCTCCAGCCGACCTGTCCTTTCAACTTTGTCCTTTTTTATCTCGACCATTGATTTCGACCCTGATCCAATAGCTCTACACGAATCTTTCTTTCAACTTGTCTGCTTGATCCTGACTGTTGATTTCGACCTCAATCCAACGGCCAAGGTTGATCATATATGCTTTTTCACCTATAAATACCCCATTTGTCAAAAATTTTCGATTATCCATCTTCGCGAACCTATTTCTTGAATATCTGTGCTTTTTTTTTCTCCTACAATTAAAATTTTAAGCTTCTCCGCACTTTGTCGTGTGCCACGGCGATCCACCACAGACTGCAACTTCCCCGAGCAACAAACACTAATTGCAACGATGAGTAAGAATCATGTACCTTTTTCTTATCATTTTGCATGTTTAATTTTTTTTTTTTTTTCACAATCCTCTTTTGCTTCCTCTCTTTCTCCGCAAAAACCTAAGTTTTTCTCTATTTTTTTTTTGTTTTCAGATTCTGCCACCTCCAGTGTGGCCGATAGATTTTTCGACAAGAATATGACTCCTCCCTCCTCCTCTTCGAACTCCCAGCCTGCGTTGACTCCATCCCCTTCCTCTTCCCTCGAGGTCATTCCTTAGTCAGTTATGATTTCGGCAATTTCTGCTCCATCATCTACGACCTTGTCTTCATCATCTCACCCTAACCAATCTCCTCCCCTCGCTCGTCCTTCTCGTTGGGCCTTAAAGCTGGTCGATGAGCCTAATTTTAAGGGAGAAGATGGCCCGATACTTCAACATATCCCACTTTCTTTCGCTCCTCCCCACAAGGTCGGTCCATCCTCGAGCCATCGATCTCTTCTAAAAGTAAAAAATAATGCCACCGATGAGGAGATCGAAGGGGAGACCTGATTCCCTGGCCCGACTTGCTTCGGTTCGTCAACCGAGTGACTTTATTCGAGCCAATCCTGCCTGGGTAGAGGAGTTCTTCGACCACTCTGGTCTACCTGCTGACTGGGAGTACATTATTCCATGACCTTCAAACGTGTATGATCATCCACTCCTCGGCTGTTATACTTTCTTCCAGAACCAGGTCAATTTCGGTCTTAGTTTTCCCATTTGTCAGCCTCTTTTCGACCTGTGTGCTATTTTTGGTCTTTCTGTAAATCAACTTCCCCAGAATTTTATTCGTCACCTTATTTTGTTTTATTATTATTTATTTATTTTTTTTGTATACTTTCATTAATTAGACTTTGTGGAATTGACCAATTTTTCTCTTATTGTTTCATAACCAAAGACCAAAAGGAGGGACTTTATCTCCAAGGTCGTAATAAAGCCAAGTTTCTATCCAATATTCCTTCCAACGTCCCTAACTGGACGCTTTTAAAACGTGCAATAATTTAAACAAGCACACATTTAAGCCATAACAGTGAAAACACACAATCGTGCAAAATCGAGATAAAAATATTCCACAAAAATTTTTTCTCTCGCACACACGTAGTTCCACAAGCCATAAAATTCCAAACTTTACACAAAATCGAATTAAACCAAGTGCTCTGACACCACTTGTTGGGGCTTGGTTAGAAACATCAAAATTATGCGAGTCACAAACTATCTACGAATTAACCCTAAGCGTAGTGGAACTAGAAGCTAGAGTTCAACGTGTACCATTTAAAATTCCGTAGACTCTGTACGGACATACACGGCCTACGGGGTCGGACGAACGGTTTTATGAATTTCTTCACACCTCGCCGTCCTTCTCTTCATCGGTCCTACGTCACGTGATTGCCTCGTCGCACATCTCGATGTCCAAGTTGCATCTCGGATCGCCTAGGGCCTCGTTGGACCTTTGACAGTTACACCACATCACATGGAGGATGTAAGACCATGGTCGGGTCACTACCGTGTCGTTATGGGTCGCCTATTGCACTTTTGGGTCGTCTGTGTTTGGATCTATGAGGATCTCGTTATGTACAAGTCACGAATTCAATAGCAAACGTAAACCTATACGCAGCGGATCTAAAGGTTTGACGTAGAGAACTTACGGCTTAAAATTTATGTAGATCTAGTTGACCACGAACGGTTGACCGCAAATGATTGACTGCAAATCACGTCTTGGGTTGCACGAACAAGATCAGATCAAAACCGAATCAAACGGGTGCAAACAGATCAAAACAAGACTTGCTGTCTGGGAGCTTCCGGCGGCGCGTGAGGGCGCGTGCGGTGTCAGATGGCGGCGATGGAAAGCTCTCGTCGATACGGTCGTCAAGATATGCTGTGCGTTTCAATCGGACATTCGGTTAGTTCTGTAGGACAAAATATATTTCGTCTCGGTTTACCTACAGATCTTCTACTGTATTACTCAATACGCCCTTCTTCAACTTGTACCAGTGGAGCAACAAGAAGAAGATAAAGCTCGAATGAGATCAAGAGAGAGAGAGAGAGGCGTGTGAGGCGTGTATCTTGTGTGAATGAGATTTCTGTTTTCTTCTCATGAGCTTAATGATGTATATATAGAGCTACAGTATGGACCCTTAAGAAATTAGGAAAAGGGCTCCTTAATTAATTAGACTAACTGTGGGTCACCCACTCCTCTAATTAATTAAATAATATAATGGGCCACCAACATTATATTATTGCACTCCCTTTTCCTAACCCAAATTACATTTGAGACTCCAATAATAATTACTCGATTTACCTCCCCACGTTTAAGATATAATGTCAATTAATTAATTCGATTACTGACAATCAAGAATTAATTAATTTATTATTATTTCACCGAAGCTAGCGCTCGTTCATCACATTCTTATTATGCCGGAACTTAATCCACCTGCAGGGTTTAGCATAACAATCCTTCATGAACTCACTCCGGGGACATCATCAAACTAATGCACATGGTGACCGTAAATATCCTAACAGCACATCCTATATATAATAATATTACCCAAAACAGTAGGAATATTAATCCAGCGCTGAACCTCACCCATGTGAATCAAAATAATATATATTATATTTATCTATCTGTTTAATATCTTACGGGTTAAGAGAACGCAGTAATTAACCGAGGCCTAGTTCATTTACGACGATCAATATAAAATGAACTTCTCCTCTCTGGGATCCTGTTCAATACATAAATGTACTAATGCAACTAATCAGTCAAGACAAACTGTACAGTTGACACTACAACCGTTCGGATGGGGTGTTCATGTCCATCTAGGTTGTGAACAACTATTCTTGTTCGCAGGTGACCGATAGAGTGATCTTCGGTTCGCCCGATGACGACCCACCCTATCTAAGTGCAGAACAACAGAACGTAGAACTTGTTTAATCTAACACGATTCTCATTCATAAAGGGCAAATGTGTAATAACATGCAAAGCCAAACTTTCAGTATATAACACTAACAGTCTGGTGCGGCTGGGGTGTACTGGAGAGCGGTGCTCCATGCAGGTGCCCGAGGGTTGTTGGGTATCGTCGGATCTGACCTTGTTTCTCGCGGACGGATGCGCTAGGATGGAAACTGCGCGGGCGCGATGCGCACTCTGGGAGCATCGTGGGTGCCATGCGCGGCTGCGCGCGTGCTGGAAAGCAGGCTACGAGATTTGCCCGGACATTGTGCAAGCTGCTGCATGCTAGAAATGCTGGGAGCGCCTAGGATGTGACGAGTCGCGCTGTTGCGCACCGTACATGCTGGGAACACCGGGGCTGTGGCTGGGACGCGGCGGGTGCGGCTGAGATCACCGGTTGTTGCTGGACATGCGGGGCATATCGCCGGCGGTTGAGGTTGATCGTCCGCAGCTCCTGGATATTTACGAGGATAAATTTATATATATTTATTCACCTTGGTTTACCTTGAATCTTCTGTCGTATGACCCGACATCTTATCCGTTCATCTTAGTTAGCGAGGTTCTCGGAGATATCTCAATTAGGATTCCTAAAAATGAGAGAGAAACATGTGCGGTAGCTATATCGTGTACATACGTATGGCGCTTCCTTTTCTCAAACCCCAAGAGATGTGATGTATTTATAGGCTACAATAATGACCATAAAGAGGTGCTAAATATGGGCTTCCCAATTTAGGTCCTAACTGTGGGCTAAGCCCTCTATGATCAAACTTGAATAATAGTTTAGTCCACTAAAGAAATATTATTGCACTCCTCATTTGGTGCCCAAATTACATTTGAGGCTCCAACAATAATTACCCGATTTACGTCTCCGAGTTCAAGATATAAGGCCTGTCAATTAATTTCATTATTGGCGATATAATTAATTAACTTCTTAAAGCGAGACTAGTACCACTCAAATCCTTATTATTATGTTGGACTAAATCCCACCAGCTGGGTTTAATATAATAATCCTTTTTTAGCTTATCTCGAGGATATCATCAGACTATCGCACACGGTGACCTTAAATATTCGAACAGCACACACAACACTACTACTCAAAACACGTCAGTCTATTGACCCAACTAAATGGATCTCACTTTTTGGTGAATCAAAGTAGTAGTTATTGTATGCACGTGTCTGTTTATATATTGCGGGTTTAGAGTACACAGAAATTATCCTAGGTCTAGTTTCTTACTCAATCAGTATAAAACAAACTTCTCCTCCGCAATTTCCGCTCAATACACACAAGGTCCACTAGTGCAATCAATCAGTCAAGACAAACAGTACAATTAACACTACAACCGTTCACGATTGGTCGTTCATTTCCATTTAGGTTGTGAACTATATATTCATGTTTTACAAGTAACCAATACGTGATCTTCTGTCCATTCGTGATGAACCACAATATCCTAATGTACAACGTCAGAACTTACACTGTTTAATTAAACATGATTATTATTCAAATGAGAATAATGTTAACAAAAAATTGAGCTTTCAGTATACACACAAACACTTTGCCAATTGTCAATTCCCAAATTCGAGTCGTTGTTATCCTAATTCATCAGCGGGTTGTGTCGTTTACGAGAAAAAAGTCTCTCTCGGCTACTCGGTAATTTCACAGCAGAGGAATGCACACTCTCACACACATACACACATATACACGCACACGCTCTCAGCGACCTAGTAAAAGGCATATGCCAGGGTGCGACCGAGGCGCGACGACAAGAGAGGGAAAAATTCAACAGGGGAAATCGAATTTGAGCCTCTAAAATGAGATCAGATTTTCGTAGACGACTTGAAACTTTTGGGAGAAGAACATCGAAGAAACTATTTATGGTGGCTTCAGATTAAAAACGTATGCTTTTATTAAATTTATTATAGAATTATTATTAGTTTTCCCTCTTTTTTTGGAATGAATTTGAGAGCTTGAAGATGATTTGAGTGGTTTTTTATTGCATTGTTGAGTTTGAATATCAATGATGATTACTTCGGTTATTAATTTCTTGTGTAATAATTATACTGATTGACAACAATATCTCACCTTTTGCAGATGTCAGACAATATACTTACCATCGATGGGCTCGACCCGTGAGCGGTGAACCTATCAGGCACTGGTGGCTGATCGGGGCGATGGATTGATGATGCGGCTAGCAACTCATGGTTGTTTTTATATATTTTTAGTTAAATCAAGTTGTTTTTATGTTATTTGATGGTTGTTATGGTATTTTTTTTGTAGTTTGATCGTTCTTATTATATAATCTCTAGGCCACTCCATTTCTACGAGAGCTTCCGGAGGTACTGGACCAAACGATGTGCCTTGAGGAAGATCCTGGTTGGCTATTGCTCCAGGAAGAACACCAAACAGCTCAGCCTCTGCCGCCAAACTGTCGGCTCATTGGAGGAGAAGATCAAGGCATCACTGCCCCGAAAGGTCTACGCCTCAAGTAAGGAGCAGTCTGGTAATTTGGTGGAGTTCAATGGGCATGGTGGGGGATCCTTGAAGTCGGACGATTTGTTGGGCAGGAACTCTTAAAAGAGATAAGTAACAAAGGAAAGGAAAAGAGTAAGAGAGAGAACGCTTGAAATTCAATGTATTCCGTAACTTTAATGATATTTTTTTATTTACTTGAGTATTTATGTATTTTGGCCCATTTTGTTGAGTGAGTGAGCACCAGACCATTTCTCACCATTTTAGAAGGTTGCTCAACTGAAATTGGGCTCCGACTATAAGGGTCAACTTGAGCCCAACTCACAACTGTCCGAGAGTGGCCAATTTGGGCCTCTCTGTGTGCTCTTGTTTTGTTTGCTTTGTCAACTACGTATCCGTGTAAGTCAAGAATATTCCAATTGAAAATACTTTCATAAGCCAATTTTCAATAAAATCATTCCTCATCTGTAAAAGCAGCTCAACCTCATTCCTGATCCATTTACTATCAAGATTCAATTTTTTTTTTTTTTTTTTTNTTTCAAACCCACGAGTTTGTTCAAAATGGAAACTGAAATTCCACTCCCATTCAGCGATTTCCCGGAGGACGTGCAGCTTTGCGTGCTGTCCTTCCTCCGGCCCTCCGACCTGGTGAAGTTCGCCATCACCTCCAAGCGCTTCGTCCCCTTCTGGCACGACCGCCGCCTCTGGTACACCATGTGCCACCGCCGCTGGGGCTCCCAAACCCTAATTAACAAGTGGGGCGGCGGTGACATCTCCTACAAGCGCCTCTACCGCATTCTCGACGAGTACGAGAACCTCATCGGGTTCTGGCGCCGGTACGGCGAGACCGCGGCCTTCCCCGCCGCGTCTCCGCCTCCGACGCCGCCTCTGGTGTTCTTCGAGTGGGGCCCGTTTTACATCACGGGCTCTAGGGTTTCCCCCTCGAAAAACAGGGGCTACGACGTGATCAAGAAGCCCTTTCTCTGGATGAGCGTGGCTCCGAACGGGGACTCCGTGAATTATCTCGATCCAGATGGGAATTTTTCGCCGAGGCAGGATGGTATGATTGGGGAATTAGGGTTTGCGGAGAATGAGCTGATTCGGGTGAGTGTGAGTTTCATAGGTGAACGCCATGTCATGGTGGAAGAGAATTTAGGGTTTTCTGGTCTGGGAAGGTGTTCGAATTCGGGAAATCTGAGGGGCGAGGAAATTGAGAATGTATATGGCTCGCCACCGGACAAATTGATGTCAGAGATTTATCAGTACTTTGCAAACAGGACAAGTCCGTCTGGTAATGGTGTCTCAAAGACTAGGCGGCAGAGGAGGAGGGAGAAGGAGAAGCAGGGGAGATTGAGGAAATGGGAGCCGGAGCATTTTGTCAAGATTGTAAATTGCTCGCCTGAACGTGACCAGCCATTGCAGGGCCTTTGGAAGGTATTGAGATTTTGACAAGATTTTGTTTATTTGGAGTTGATTTGATCCATATGTGCGAATTCGAATAGAATGGTCTGGTTTTTAAGTGAAGCTTTGGGCTTTTGATTGAAAGAGCGGGCTGATTAAGTAGTTTTTTCTCTCTAGGTTTGATTTAAAACTATATAGCTTGAAACTTTTGGAATTTGTAGTATGTTGATTTATCACATGATTAGAGAGGTTTACTGAGATGATTGCATCTGCCAATCTATGTGAACTGTGATGGTGTTGTGTGTGTATTGTCATATTTTAATGGTAACTTTTTTCTTATAAATGTGAGTTTGGTNAATTGAAGTGGTGATCTATAAGGCAATGTGTTTTGCTCAATCAGTGTGATGTGCAGGTTTTGTTTACATTGGAGTTCTGAGACATACTTTCTTGTAGTGCTTTATGCAATTTAATTTCCGTTGAACTCACCTCAACTTTGTTTAGTATGCTTTGTGCTTCCTGCAATTAACTCACCTCAACTTTGTTTAGTATGCTTTGTGCTTCCTGCAAATTGCAACGAGGTTTGTTGCTAGTGGAACAACAATAACTAAGCTAGCAGAGCACAAGAGAACCTCTTTAATGCTCGATTTGATTGCTAATTATTATGCTCCTTTTTTTCTTTGAACACCACCCCTTGTTTGCTGCTCCCAACTTACTCGAAACATGAACTTTGGACTTTGAATTTTCAAATCCTCCCTTACTGTTTGAAATTTCTGAGCATTTCTCTTCTCATTATATTTGACCAAATCCAGTCTCCGTTGGTTTCTGCATATAAAAAATACTACAAAAGAATGATGACCCCATTTTTATTTCTTGTCCTGCATAAATATTAATATTTACTGGCTTCTCCGGTAAAATAGTCAAGACTTTTCAAAATCGTGTTTTCTAAAAATGTGTTTACTGCAGGGAATTTGTGACGACATGAGCTTGGATTTCTACCTTGTCTCATACGATGACCTCAGGGGCGTTGCCTGCCGAAAAGTCGGGGACACTAATGCCCCCGTTTTTTGGACATCAAATTTGACGTACACTGAGCCTCCTTTTTCTCGCACAGAAGATTATATATACAATTGCCGTACGCATCTGAGGCCCCATTTAGAAAACATGCTAGAAGAAGATGAGCATGATGAATCATGTTCAGATAATTTGGAAGTTTCGCGCATGCTTTGCATCAATTCAAGCTATGACTTGGTAATCCCAGGCCTGGTGGGGTCCACCGTGAATTCGCGGCAGGTGGAGGGAAGGATATGGCAGTATGAGAATGGGACTTTTGGGTTTGGGTTTTTAGGTGATAGTTATATTATTGACCTGAGACGTATTGCGAGGAATGGGCACCTTCTTGATGCAATAGAACCTGATGAGGGTTGATTGTATCTTTATTATAACTTATAAGCATCTCTTCCTTTTCATTT